CATGCGCCACAACAATACTAGGATTAAATACAAATTACGGCTGGAGAATAAATGAAGGAGTTACCATGGGTGCTATCAATAGGAGGGAGCCACATGTAATTACTCCAAGCACTGTATCTGGTAAGCAAGAATTGCATCTTAATAAACAGGAACGGCCAAGAGTGAATAATAAAGCTAATGTTGAAAATCTTTTTCACGCTTTCATCCAGCATGAATGATTGCTGGCTTTAAGTTAGCTGGAAGAATTTCTGCTCACTGTGCAGGCGTTTTCATTAAGCAAAGGTAATTGTGTAACTCTCATGTCTCTTCCTAGGCTGGCAAAGCTGGGAAAATATGACAGTGGATTGCTGGAGCACTGCTTCATTAAACCTGAGGAATATTTAACTCGGAATACAGTCGGATTTTGAAACCTCAACCTAATTGCAGCGCCAAAACACAGAGAGCAGAACGCATCTCAGATAGAATGCCATTCATCACCATCAACAACAAACAGTGATTTTTTTTTGTGCACCTGAAAAGCACGGTCCACCATGGGAAAAACACCCAAATCGAAAAGTACATGATGAAAACTATGTATGAAAGGGAGATGGGAATGAGGATGTGCTTTTTAAGATCTAAAGAGCAGGTTTTAATTTGGCTGTGCATGTAATAAGAGCCCAACACCAAAATTATAAGCAGGGGTGGGTTCCACTTACCTTTACTACCAGTTTGCAACAGGAGTGTGCGCGCACTTCTGCACATGTGCAGATAAGCCATGATGACATCTGCCTGGGTGGGCGGAGCCTCCCGCTGCCATTACTACCGGTTCACAAGAACCGGACTGAGCCGGAAACAACCCACCACTGATTATAAGCAAATTATTTATATTTACCTCTGTTCTTGAAATGAAAACATGCACCTTTTCAAACAGATGTACAAATGGAGGCCCTAAGGACTGGCTGTGTAATGCACGAGAGTGCTTATCGGTCAGGCAAATGGGATAGAAATTACCCGGAATTCCATTATTCGATCATTCCATTCATAAAACATATGAAGAACAGTTGCAGGAATTGGTTTTGTCTCGTCTAATAAAAAGAAGGACTAGGGGCAACGGGATAGCAGTGTTCCAATATCTTAGGGGCTGCCACAAAGAAGAGGGGGGTATTAAGCTATTCTCCAAAGCACCAGAAGGCAGGACAAGAAGCAATGGCTGGAAACTAATCAAGAGGAGAAGCAACTTGGAGCTAAGGAGAAATTTCCTAACAGCAAGAACAATTAACCAGTGGAACTGCATGCCTTCGGAAATGCCTTCACTGGAGTATTTTAAGGAGAGGCTGGACTGCCACTTGTCTGGAACGGTATAGGATCTCCTGTTTGGGCAGGGGGTTGGACTAGAAGACCTCCAAGGTCCCTTCCAACTCTGTTATTTGTGTTATTCCTCGAAGAAAGTGGAAGCAACCATCCCAAAAAGACGAACGTTCAAAGCAGCAGCATCAACAGATAAACAGAACCTGAATTGTTTGTTTTTTCTCCATTTGAAGTCTCTCGGTTCAAATAGTTTAAAATACCAATAGAAGAGAATATTTGTCGCTCAGGGCATGCTGGTCTGTGGCCGGATAAAGATTTGATTGATTGTCACTCAGGGTTGAACTGTGAGTTTCTTTGTTGCTCTTTCAGCTTGGTTGTTTTCTTACGGACATTTCATTACCAAACTCGGTAATATCATCAGTGCTAGATGGGAGCGGGGTTTGTTCTCTGATTATATACAAGTGACTTGCCATATCAGTATAGCACTGATGAGGTTACCTGCTTTGGTAATAAAATGTCTGCCAGAAAACAGCCAAGCTCAGAGAGCATCAAGGACCCCACAATTCAAAATACAATCCTACAGACAAAACAGCAATGGGAAATAAATGATCCATGATAATATTTGGGAGCAATGTCTATGTTTATGTACATTTGAATATATTAAAGTATTCTCCTATATTAATTGGCCGAACAATGAAAGCAATAAGCAAAAAGAAAGAGGAAAAGATATTTTCCCTCTAGATACTCTTCCAAAGAAGCACTTATATTAACTATCCTGTGGGCCACATTACAAACAATTTTGTATTACACCACCACAACAACAACTGATAATAATAATAATAATAATAATAATAATAATAATAATAATAATAATATAATGGCCACAAACTAATGCCATGAAAACAAAGATACAAAAATCCACCAATAATCCAAACTGTCGACTTTGCAACAACAAAGTTGAAACCGTTTCACATTTAATATGCAAATGCAGCAAAATCGCACAAAGCTAGACACAACCGAGTTGCTAAATTAGTCCACTGGTCTTTATGTAAAAAATACAACTTTCCTGTATCCAAAAAGTCATGGGAACATAAAGTGGAAAAAGTTATAGAAAATGAGAAGGTGAAGATCTTGTGGGACTTTTGAATACAGACTGATCGTCACTTGGAACACAACACGCCAGATATCACAGTTGTCGAAAACCTAAACGTACAATTTATTGACATTGCGGTACCAGGAGGTGCCAGAGTCGAAGAAAAAGAACTTTAAAAAATCATGAAATATCACGACTTGGCCATAGAAACTACACGGCTATGGATGAAACATGTAACCATGATACCCATTGTCATCGGGGCACTTGGTACCATGTCCAAGAATTTTATAACATACATCAGGAAATTTGCAGCTTCCTGCAATAACACCAACGGAACTGCAAAAAAACTGTGCTACTTGGAACATCGTACATCTTAAGAAGGTACTTGGTTGATACCTAGGATGCTGGCAGCAACCCGTATCAACCATTAGCACCAGTCAATGGTATTTGTGATGCATTTTTGAATGTTCAGTTGACTGAGTTTTATATTTAATGAATAATGATGATGATGATGATGATGATGATGATGATGATGATGATGATGATACTACTATAACTACTACTAATAATAATAATAATAATAATAATAATAATAATAATAAGTCAATGATATTTGTGAAACAATTTTAAATATTCAGTTGAGTGCATTTCATGTTTAATGAATAAAAGAGACAACAGCAACAACAACAGACCACACTCAGTTGCCGTAGATTTGTGAGTTGAAATTAAATATTGAACGTATACGGAGGATGATAAATTGCATATTCACTACCTCTACATAAAAATGTGAGTTTCCTGAAATTTCTGTTCCATGTTGAAATTTGGTAACATTTTTTTTCCTGTTGTAATTGATAATAATAAGATCAGTATGTGAAATAGTAAAATGATGCAATATATCTAAATTGAAAAACAAACAAAAGGCACCCCCTTTATCTCAAACAGTGTAGAAACGCTAACTCTGTGTGATATTGTGATGTCACAAGTCTCCTATTTCAACAGGCTTATTCAGAGTACTGGATCCAGACCTGCAATGCAATCATAACCAGCCTGTGAAACTTTCAACGCAGTGCAGTGATTTACTTAGCAACAATACTACTGAAGCTCACACTTGCCCAAGGATGACATTCAAATTTTTCCTGTGGAAAAAAAGCTTTGGAGGAGGGAATGGTGTTAGAAACCAGGTAGGTTTGTTACTGTTTGTATTTTCACAACGCAAGGAGACAACTCAAGGCCGGGTGACTGAAACCAAGCAAAAAGGGTGTCTTGATTTTTCAAGCAAACTGGCTTTAAATTTACAAACAATTAGCAGTTTCTTTAAGGAATGATTCACAGAGATCATCTTAAGTTTCCCGTATAATCCTGCTCATGAAAGTATAAAGAAATTTTACTTTTCAATCAACCACAGACAAAACAACCAAAGGCCAGCCATGACAGCTGGGGAGTAAAAAGTTGAAGTCCAGCATATTTAGAAACAACCAGATGGAAACAACAATTTTCATTAAAGAAATGGCTTCCATTTATCATCCGAGCCTTAGCAGTACATTCATAAATAAAACTTAGAAAAGGAAACAAGTCCTTTCCATCAATCCTGAAACCACACATCAGTACAAAATAGTGAGTCCAAACAAATATATGCACAACAAGTGGCAACAATGAGATCCTTTCTTTCTATCCTTTTCTCTGCTGGTCTGTTTCTCCTCTATCTTCTTTTCTCAAATATTTGCCTGAACTTATTATTGACTTTGACCCTTCAGCCAGTTTCAGTTGCTGTCCGAAGGATACTCTGGGCATCATACACATCCATCCGCCTCCTTTTTCAGGCATCACCAAACCGAGTCTGAACATCCTATTTCTGTAGTCAAACCATGGGCCAGATCAGGTCAGCGGGGTACTTAAATCTGGCCCATGGGGCCGGCCTGGAAATAACAAAGGACCGGCCCGTGGTGCCTCTGGTACCCCATTTTCATCCTGGAGAGCCTCCTGCAGCACTTTGTCAGCCAAAACGGGACATGGGGGATGTTTTGTGCCCTGTTTGCAGTGATGGGATTCAGCCAGTTCGCACCTATTCGGGAGAACTGGTAGTTAACCTTCTAAGCAGTTCGGAGAACCAGTTGTTGGAAGAAATCTTATTTTGTTTTTTTTCCCACTTTACAGGACTAATCCTGTAAGGAAGGCAGGAAGGAAATGTTCTGGTGTAGTTTCTAGCCTAATCTTTATTACCCTGCTTACAGAAACTGCCTCTCTGGTTAATCCTTGTTACATTGTAAAAGCTAAGATGAAGCGCCCATTGACGTGAGAGAAGTTGAGTTGGTTACACCCACACGGTCACATGACCACTGAGCCATGCCTACCCAGCTGGTCATTAGGGCAGAGAACCGATTGTTAAATTATTTGAATCCCACCACTGCCCATCTTGGTTGGCAAAGTGCTGCAGGAGGCCATCCAGGATGAAAACAGGGCATGGAGCGGGGGCGGCACAGTGCTGCAAGAGGCAACCCCCGGTCCATCCCCCCTGGCCTGGCCCACAGAGAACAACAATGCTGATCCAGCCCTTGAAGAAATCCAGTTTGACAGCCCTGCTGTAGAGGGATGTTCATGAAAGTCGAAAAACATCACTCACCAGAGTTGGGGTCCGAGTTTCCATCTGCTTCGGTCCTCTTGTCCGGGGAGGCCTGGTCGTAGAATTCGTCCTGCGGCTGAACCAGAGGGAGAGGGTGTGAGACCATCATTCCACTACCCACAGGCTCATGATCTCCTAGGCCACTGTCACTGCAGCTTTCCTGCGAACCATCGGGGAGGTGAAACGTAACACGACGTTGAGACTACAAAGAAGAGCACAGGACAAGCTCGATTAGTGCTCTTCTTTTTCTCTTTCACCCCTCCCTCTGTTTCGATAGATTGTTATATTTATGGTTGATCGCCCCAATCTTTTCCGAATACAAGGGCCACCCGGACAAATTTTATCTTTATTATTTTTGTAAGGGCTGCTGCTAACCTACACTCACATATCAGGTGGCCAAAGATCTCCACCAAGTTACACAACCACACAAAACTTTGAATTAGCTATGCTGTTTTTCCCTTCTCCAATAATAAATGCGGTATTAAACTGTTCCCCTCTTTACTGTACTTTCCCCCCCTGTAAACACTTATCAAATACTGTAATAAAAATATTACATATATTTGGTCTAGTCAAAGAGTATGCATATATATATATATATATATAATTTTTATATATACACACACTATCTATATATACACATACAATACACACACACACACACACACACACACACACACACACACAAAACCATGACTCTGGGCAGGTATTTAGTAACTGGTATTCACATTTGCTATCAAATTTATAGAAAATGCCCTTGCAAGTTGCATATGGAAGTGTTGCTTGGGGAGTCTAAATCCAACCTAAAACCACTTTATTTCCCAAAGACACAACTCAAAATTCCTATCCCATTCGTGTCAGGAGGCACCATTCAAGCTGCTTCTGGATTGAAAGGATTATCTGGTGACATCACTGTTGCTATGGTGGCTCCCGTTGGGGCTCTTTTCATGTCCACACAAGGAGCTGGAGTGAGTGACAGGAACTCACCCCAAAATGCAGCAGCACTCAGGTCTCGAATGTGAGGTTAACTTGGCATTCTAACCACGGGAACCACTGCGCTCCACCCATCAGAGACAAATACATATTTGCTGCAGGAAGCAGTATTTCTTCCAACTGTATACAGTTGCATTGCTGAAAAGCATTTTCACACTAATAAGGGACAATGGTAAGAATGGAAATGTTGCACTCTAGTGGCTTGACTTATGGGGCATCATAAGCAGGTCGAAGAGGTAAAAAAAGCGTGACAAAGAGATACATAGCATCTAGCCTTTTTTATTCCTGGCACACCCATTCTTGTGTGGCACTTATCCAGGAACAACTTAAACCATCTTCTTTTAATGACCCCATAATCCCATGTGGGGTGGAGTCTGGGCAACTGAATGGAGCTAGCAGAATGTTTACTGACCAGATGCCCTTCCTGTCACCAATACAGAGTTCTCATTGTGCCCAGAGAGAGAAGTATCTGCCTCTAGCTAGGATCAAACTCACAGCCTCCTGACTGTGAGGCGAAAGCTCTGCCTCTAGGCCACCACAGCACTCAATCCAGGAACAACTTAAATCTTTGGTATTTTTTTTAAACCCAACAAATGTCCCGACCATCATTGGTTAATGCCAGAAATAACCAGACTAAATCATCCTATCATATCTAATATACTATTTATCATACTATTATTTATATGCATAATTTTGGGTAGAGTAAAAGAGAGAGAAACATATGGATAAACTTCCACTATCTGTGTTGGAATCTTTTGAATTTCCAACCGGAAAGGTGATGATATACCTAGGTCACCTCTGGGAAGGGAAAAATGAACTATATACACCCACATCCAGATATGTCTTATATGAAAGATTAAGATGCTGTGTTGGAATCCTTTGAATTTCCAACCGGAAAGGTGATGATATACCTAGGACATCTTACAGCTGAAATCCAACACTTCTGGGAGGGGAAAAATGAACTATATACAACCACATCCAAATAAGTCTTATTTGAAAGATTAAGATGCAAAATCAGCATGAAAGAGTGAAGCAAAAGTATCAATGACATCCGGGGTCCCGATATAGTCAGCTGGTGCCATCGCTGACTATTGGGGGTGAATCACTGCCCCCCACAGAGAGGGCTCGCAATCTGGGTGTCCTCCTGGACACACGGCTGTCTTTTGAAGAGCATATGACAGCCGTGGCCAGGGGGGCTTTTTATCAGGTTTGCCTGATTCGCCAGTTGCAGCCCTTTCTGGACCGGGACACCTTGCGCACGGTCACTCATGCCCTTGTCACCTCCCAGCTGGACTATTGTAATGCTCTCTACATGGGGGCTCCCCTTGAAGAGCACTCGGAGGCTCCAACTGGTCCAGAATGCGGCCGCGCGGGTGGTTATGGGCGCAACCCATTGTGCCTACGTGACACCCCTCCTGCGCGAGCTGCACTGGCTCCCAGTGGTCTTCCGGTGCGATTCAAGGTGTTGGTCACCACCTTTAAAGCGCTCCATGGCATAGGACCCGGGTACCTTCGAGACCGACTTCTGCCACCAATAGCCTCCCACCGGCCAGTTCGCTCCCACAGAGAGGGTCTCCTCAGGGTGCCATCGGCCAAGTTATGTCGGCTGGCGACACCCAGGGGGAGGGCCTTCTCTGTGGGAGCCCCAACCATGTGGAATGAACTGCCCCCGGAAATGCGTAAGATCTCCGACCTCAGGGTATTTCGCTGTGCCCTTAAGACCCTGCTGTTCCGCCAGGCCAAGCTATCAATGTAATGATTTTAAATTGGATGTTTTAAATTTTGGGGGGTTTTAATATTGAGCCAAAATTATTTAATAATTTTAAATTATCTTAATTGTTGTTTGTCTTTGTGCTTTTAATAGGCTGTACACCGCCCTGAGTTCTTCGGGAGAAGGGCGGTATTGAAATAAAATAATAATAATAATAATAATTATTATTATTATTATTATTATTATTATTATTATTATTATTATTATTATTATTATTGTTGTTGTTGTTGTTGTTGTTGTTGTTGTTGTTGTTGTTGTTATTATTAAACATTGTACTTAGTAAGACTACTTACTAGAGTCTTTATTTCAAATGGTGCTTCAGAAGCAAACAATATGTATTCCTCCCAACAGGATTTAATATGGAGGTTTTTAATAATAGTATCACTCACACCCATGCACGCAAGCCTACTCTCCTGCACAATTAAGACACAACAAATTTAATTTGCTTATGAAAGGGACAAGGAAACAACACTGAAACAGGAATCTTTAGCTTTGTTTTGGAAGCTTCAGTACTTCATGGAAAGGGCTAATGAGGAGGATACATAGACATTTATGCCAAAACATTGCTTTTTTCAAGTGGTTTAAATGTAAAACTGTTGTATGTGTGTGTGCGTGCATGCACAGGCATACATTTATATTCTACGACTAATGCACAACTTGATCCTATCACCTGAATTTAAGATTAGGGAGATACATCTGATCTAGTTTTTTTCTTTGCAAACCTAAAAAAAAAAAAATAGCTGATTTAATAAGCTGCATTAAATATGTGGCTGCCTTAATGGCTGATTCATTAAAGTAGTCATTTCTTATGATGGGAGGGGGAAGAGGGGGGGAGGGAATGAGCGCTGTTTAATGAGGTGTTGTACTCAGGGCTGGGTTTCAAAAATTTTAGCAAGGGGTTCTCTGCCCAGTTGCTTGGTGGGTGTGGCCATGGTGGGCGTGGCCTAGCCAGCTTCCTGCACCACACTGGGGTGGGCAATTTTTGCCCTCCCCGGTCTCCGGAGGTTTTCCTCGAGTCTCCGGGACGGCGAAAACAGCCTCCCCAGGCTCCGTAGGCCCTCTGGAGTGTCCGGAGCAGAACTTCCGGTATGCCCATTTTTCACCCTCCCTGAACCTCTGAACACGGCCTGCACTTATCTGCATACAAAATGGGCCATGTGGAGACTCCTTGGACGGGTGGGCCAGGGTGGGCGAGGCTAGCCAGGAGTGGGATTTGGGGGTTCTCAGAACTGCACAGAATCTTAGCAAGAGGTTCTCCCGAACCCCTGCAAACCCCTAGCAGCCCATTTCTGGTTGGACTTGTTTCCCAGCACATGAGAAGGGGGGAGGAAATTGAAATATATATAACTGCTTCCAAATATGTTTTGTGTTCAATAACATGCATAAGCTCTCCTTTTGAATTTTGAAATGGAACATGGAAGCTGTATATTTTGTTTATTTAAAAGCATTTTGCTTCATCCCAACACTCTTAATTTAGCGCTGTGCAGAGTTGAGTTCTAGATAATTCCAGGACTACTGTACATACACGGACACTGTACTTAAGTCTGAATAAACCTAATTAGGAAGATAGATGAAGTTGGTCACCCATCTGAACACTGTAGCATTTGGACTTGAAGGGCTTGTTTGTAATTGATGAAGTGAGTTTTCTAACAAGGTTAGAAGGCTGCCTTACAGAACCAGTAATTAAAGTGGAGATGTGACCTTGAAAGATAATGATTCTTCCAATCAAGTCTGAAGTGACAATTACCATTAATCTCCAGTCATATTACTACGTCTGCGTCATTGGAGTATTAATACAGACCAACCATCTGGGTTGTGTTTTAAGGACTTCCTGAGACAAGTTTTTGCTTCAAGTTTTCATGAAGGAAGGCAAATATCCATGTCTCAGAATAATATTGCAGGATCCGATCTTGGTCAGTCATCAAGATCACCGGTTTAGTCTTCCAAGCTTTTGAACTTGGTCTGGAGCCCACCCACAGGAAACTTCTCTCTACCAGAATGTGTGCTTTGGGCTACTCTATGAGTCATATTAGTGGGAATGCGGTGGCTCAGTGGCTAAGATGCTGAGCTTGTCGATCGAAAGGTCGGCAGTTCAGCAGTTCGAATCCCTAGTGCCACGTAATGGGGGTGAGCTCCCGTTACTTGTCCCAGCTTCTGCCAACCTAGTAGTTCGAAAGCACGTAAAAAATTAAAGTAGAAAAATAGGGACCACCTTTGGTGGGAAGGTAACAGCGTTCCATGCACCTTTGGCATTTAGTGATGCCAGCCACATGACCATGGAGACATCTTCAGACAGCGCTGGCTCTTTGGCTTTGAAACGGAGATGAGCACCACCCCCTAGAGTCAGGAACGACTAGCACATATGTGCGAGGGGAACCTTTACCTCTATGAGTCATATTAATGTGATGCCTGGTTGGGTGTGGCTTCCTATTGGTCAATTA